CAGGCATTGAGAAACTAGCTTATCAGAAAAACAGGACGTAGTGGTCAAGCCATCTGCATCTGGCAATCCCCAGGGCTCGATACCAGGAAATCAGGAGAAAAACCTCTGTGTCCCTGAGGTCACCTCCCATTTAGCAATCCCACTTCCCCTTAGCCCCGACCCTTACCCCATATTTCTGTGTGCTTTTGAAATTACTCTGTGTGTTTTTGAATTAACCAATAACCGCGCTTCTGCTTCTGTACCCTGCTTCTGCTCTATAAAAGTGCCAAACCCCAGCCTGTAGGCGTGCAAGTCCTCCGAGGAGACTTTGTGCCCACAGGTACCTGTGTATCAAGTAACCTCTTGCTGTTGCAACCCGAAAGGCTGACTTGTCCTCAGTGGTCTCACTCTTACAACACAGTGTGCTCATTTTCATATAGGTCAAAAAAGAAAAAAAACCACCTCATTTATACACATAAAATATAAATAAATCTTTAAAAAGAGGGGTGGGGGCTGGGGATACAGCTCACAGGTAGAGTGCTAGCCTAGTATGCACAAGGCCCCAAGTTTAATCCCCAGTGCCCCACACTTCTACCGAAATGCCTGGGGAGATAGTTAAGTACTTAAAAGCTTGAGGACCTGAGTTCAATTCTCAAGACAATAGTGCATGCTTGAAATTCCAGTGGTGGGGAAGCAGAGACAGGAGGTTCCCTGGGGCTTCCAGCCAGTCAGCCTAGCCTAATCATGGAGCCCCAGGTGCCAGTGAGAGATCTTGTCTCAAAAAAACAAAAGGTGAAGGCTCCTGAGGAATGACATCCAAGGCTGTCCTCTGACCTCCACAAAATGTGTACCCAAGTGCACATATACTCTCCCACTTACCTAGTCTCCCACCCCTACACAAAAGAAACCCAAAAGACTGAGTTTCTCTTCCTCACTTTGCATGAATGGAATCCCATGAAGTTTTTATGTGCTGCTTCTGAACCCAAGCCACAAAAAAGATCAGAGACCAAACAAAACAAAATCCCAAATTGGAAACTCTGTAGGGTAAGTCACATTATTCTCATTTCTTTTTCCTTTTATTATTATTATTATTTGAGACAGGGTACCATGTATCCTAGCTGGTCTCAAACTCACTATGTAGCTGAGGATGGTGTTGAACTCTGTGTGTGTGTGTATGCAAGCACACGGGGATGGTGGGAGTTGCATTCACTTATACATGTATGTGTGGAGGTCAGAGGTCAACACTGGGCATCTTCACCTATCATTCCCCACCTTATTTTTTGAGATGGCATCTCTCACTGAACCTGGAGCTTGCTGTTTGGGTTAGACTGTCTGGCCAGCTAGCCCCAGGGATCTGCCTCTCTCCTCACACCCAGATCTGGGCTAACAGGTGACTGAAACTACACTTGGCTTTTACATGAGTACTGGGATCTGAACTCAAGGACCCCATATTTGTACTGCAAACACTTTACCCACTGAACCATATCCCCAGCCTGACTTGGAATTCTTGATCCTCATGCTAGGATTATAAGTATGCGCCAACACAACTGGTTTATGCAATGCTGGGGATCAAACCCAAGGCTTCACGTACACTAAGCAAGTACTCTACCAACCTAACTATATCCCCTTTTAACAAAGGTATCTGACATAGGCAGGAAGTTGTATTTATAATATTTATGTAATGACTGTAGCCCATAAACTCCCCATGCAATTAAACTACAGAAAATTCTTGTCATCAGGTAACCTTCCTCTTCCTGAGTTTGGAGAGTAAGGAATAATACTGTCTTGACAGACTCCAAGAAGATACAGGTCCTGTTTTCTGGGATGACAACTACGCTGGTCCTTGTTTAACTGTCTTCACTAACTTTTCAAGCAGTTTATGCTGGCTCCACAGAATGTAAAAGTTCTCTGGGTACAAGGTCATATCCTCTCTGTGTTCATGACTATAAGATTAGCTTCATTCCCATGAGACATGTCCCCTGTTCTCCTCACTGTGAATATCTTTATTGTTTGTCAGTCAGAATGCCTCCTTGTCATTTAAAATTGTTGGAATAAGCTGAGTCATCTTAGAGCTACCCCTCTTCCCACACAGCCCTCTGGAGATATGAAAGCTTTAACACAGCTTCCTTAGTGCCATGTGACCTGGATCAGAAGAAGCTGCTTCTCTGCTGGGTACCAGTGAAGCCTATTCCGTCAGCAGGAATGCATCATATTTTGTACAGCTTTTTTCCTCTATGACTCTAATGTGCGTTCAGCCTTCTAGACTTAGTATATATACATACACATACTTTTTTTTTTTTTTCCAGTGCTGGGAATTAAATTTGGAGCTTCAAGCATGCTAAGCCAGGGCTCTACCACTCTACTATACCTTAGCCCTACATTTGATCTTTTTAAAGATGAAATTAATTTTTTTTTTCCAGTGCTGAGGGTTGAACCTAGGGCATATCCCCAGTCTCCTAGATTTTCCCTTTTAAACAATGAAACAAAAATAAAAAGCTCAAATTTGCCTGGTCACCTTTTAATATAGGGAATGATGAAGAAAAGCATCTGAACCTCAAAGTGTTTCAAGGACACAAAAAACTAAGTATATGGATTCTAGAGAGAAAACTAAGTACTACAGGAGCTGTGGGGCTGTATGTGCCCTTCCATGCGTGTTTGGTTGGTTGGTGTTTTAGGTGATTATTATTGGTAGTAGGGGAGAGAAATGCATTGCTTTTGCTTTATTTTTGGTCTTTCTGAGACAGGGTCTCCCTGTAGCTCCAGCTGGCCTGGAATTCACTATGTAGACCAGGCTGGCCTTGAACTCACAGAGATCCGCCTGCCTCTGCCTCCTGAGTGCTGGGATCAAAGGTGTGCACCACCACGCCCGGCTGCTTTTGCTTTTTAATCAGTCATGTGTGAATCCTTGGTAGCATTTTAATATGCTTTCAGGCTGACCTCAAACTCATGACCTTTCTGCCTCAGCCTCCTTAATGTTTGGATACAGGTGTGTACCACCACACCTGGCTAATTAAAACTCTTTGAAGTTACAAAGTTCAATACTCTTGGGGCATAATAAGCAGATGCACTGAATTCTGCTGGAAACTCAGGTACATCAGATAGAAATGGAACCATTTTCCTTCCTTCTTGCTGAGAAACCCTTACCCAAACCAGTCTTCTTCCCCATTATCCCTGCCAGATAATGAGCTGCATTAACAGAAATCTGACCCACCATGTTTGGCTGCCAGCCTTCCACATTCACACATCTGTCAATGCACCACCAAAAGTCATCTTCTGACTCTCCTTTCCAGGCAAAGACAGGAAATCCTATAAAAAAAGAATAAAATCATTAAAGGCTGTAAAAAGGGCTGATTCCCAAATTTTGGCAAGAAAGTGCCGATTTCCCCCAATTCTAAACTCTCATTCTGCTGGTTTCCTTGGATTAACTTCCTTCACAGGTTATATTGCCTTTAGGCTCCTTCATCCATTCCTCTCCCTGTAATCATCATTTTGTTCTTCTTGCTTGAAGAGGACAAGCAACACAGACATGAGTGTAAGGGTTGCTAAAAATATGACTAAGGGAAAAATGAAGCCAGAAATAAGTGCCTGATCCAGTCAAACTGGCTTCTCATTAGTTCCCAACTACTCCTTTTCTTCTTCTTTGTATTAGTCACCCCACACCTTCCTTATCAGGGAAATTCTCCTACTTTTATCTACCAAAATGCTTATTTTATATCACATCTCAGTCAAGTGTTGTGTTCCTTATGCAGACTGTGTAGCCTAGCTGGAAGTGAGCACTGGAGGAATCTGGACTTTTCTAAATCCATTGTTTGTGTATTACTGGATATGGATTTTAATTAGCCAATTAATTATTTTTGCAGTGCTGAGAAATGAACCTAGGATTCACACAGCATATGCTAGGCAAGTGCGCTACCACGGAGTTTTCATCCCTAGCTTTACTTATTTTATTTATGGTTAGTTAGCTTTGAGACAGGCTCTCACTATGCAGCCCAGGCCAGCCTCAAACTTGTGGCAATTTTCCTGCCTTAGCTTTCTGGGTGCTGGGATTACAGGTGTGAACCACCATGCCTGTGCTGGATAGCTTTAGTGTCAACTTGACACACCTGGGTTGAAGGAGCCTCAATTGGGGAATTTCCTCTTTTGGACTGGCCTGTGGCCATGTCTGAGGGGCATCTTCTTGATGAGTGATGTGGGAGGGCCCAGCCCACTGTGGGTGGTGCCACCCCTGGGCAGGTGGGCCTATGTAGCATAAGAACTAAGACAATAATTGGTACCAGAAGTGAGGTATTGCTGTGACAGACCTGACCTTGGTGTTTTTGGGAGGACTGTGGAAGTGTTTGGAACTTTGGGCTGGAAAAGCCATTGTGTGCTCAGAGTTTGTTGCAGTGGAGCTTGGAACAATTATGCTGAAAGAGCTGTAGATGATGGAGGCCTGGCTTGTGAAGATTCAAAGGGAAGCAGAAACTATCAGGGATGTTCATGTGATGTTTTGGATTGAGAATCTGAGGGTTTTGGTCAGCTGGGGCTGAAGAATTAGCTGTGATTAAGAAGAGACCAGAACCTGAAGCAAAACCTTTGCTTTACTGGGACAATTGATGCTGGTTAGCTGGGGCTGAAAAATCAGCTGTAAGTAACAAGAGACCAGCATCGCTGTGGTGAAGTCTTTTAGGAGGTATTTCCTCAGGGTCAGCATACAGAGGGGACCCATGCCTCTATTTCAAGCTGGAAGCAGGACTTGGTAATGTGTAAGAATGTCCTGCATGGTTTTGGTGTTGAAAGTGTGAAGGGTTCACAGAGAGCAGCTGAGGCTTGGCACTCTGAGAGGCCAGGAAAGGCCATAGGTGAAAGTGCAGCTTCAGTTGCAGTGAAGATCCCAGGACTGAAGGGGTCATGGGGTGAATCTGAGGCTTTGCACCCCAAGAGGCAAGAAGAGACCATTGGTGAAGGTGTAGCCTCAGTTTCAGTGGCAACCCCAGCTTTTTGGAGATGCCAAGACCATGGGATGACCACCAAGGGCAGTGGCAGGGGTGGAATGGAGCCAGCCTGGGGCTGCAAGACAA